TGGAAAAATTATCTTCCATGAAACCAGTCCCTGGTGCCAGAATGGTTGGGGACCACTGCCTTAAGCCCAGGAGATCGAGGCTGCAGTGAGCTATGATTGTGTCACTGCACTCCAGCCTAGGTGACAGAAGGAAAAGACCCTGTCTCAAATAAAATAAATAAATAAATAAAACAGGGAAAATGCCCACCTGTATCACGGAGATCGCCAGCTTTGGTCCTGGCCCGGCTGGCTTTGGCACTGTCATTGCCATGGGGATTGTCTTCATTGGTGAACAGCATGATCCTCTTGTGACTCATCTTGAACTGGACATCACTAAAGAGGTTGGCACAGACCCACAGCACTTCACTTAATGAATAGTCAGATCCATGGCCTATCAGGTCTTGGAAATGTTTTTTTCCCTGCTGCCCCTTAAATTGGTCAAGTTCTAGAATACGTTTAGCACCTGATCATAGACAGGGAGTCAAATGGGCAGAAAAATAAAAAAGAGTGTCAGTGGCTGCCTTTACTACAAGGCTAACAGAAGAACCAGGGTCCCTTTCTCACCCCAGAGCTATTTAACCCCCATAGCAGAAGTCCACATCCCAGCAAGTACGCCTTCTGCATGGACGCATGCTCCTAGGCAAGATGTAACCTGCTTCCTCCTCCACAGCCCTCTTTGTTCAGGGTATTGACATTCTCACATGTAAGGAAAAAGATGATCTTAGAATATTACTGACCTGGATTATCCAACTCCTGTAAGACATAAATATTTTTAAAATTCACTGAATTTTTGTCTTTCTTGGTACCATAGAACACCACTGCCAAGAGATCTCGATCACTGCTTATGATCTTATTGATGTACACACTTTGGATACACTGAAAAAATTAAAATTCAATTGTTACTAACCATTAAACTTAAGTTCCGTAAGTGCCTGACACATAGTAGGTGCTCAATATATACTTGCTGAATGGCACTAAAAGAAGACACGACCCCTACCTTCAGGAGTAATGAATCAGTGAGAATGATGGGCGTAAATATCAAGTTATAACAAAAAGCAGAATGTGGCAGGTATTTAACAGAAGCATAAGCAGTCCCTGCCATAAGAAGTAAGAGGATTAGCCAGGGGCAGTGGCTCGCACATGCAATCCCAGCATTTTGGCTGAGGCAGGGGGATTGCTTGAGGACAGGAGTTTGAGGCTGTGATTGGTCCACTGTACTCCAGCCTGGGTGACAGAGTGAGACCCTATCTCAAAAAAAAAAAAAAAGAGAAAGAAAGAAAAAAAGAAATCAGAAAATTAAAAACATGTATATTCTCAGAAAGGAAACTGTTATGGGGGAAAAAGAGCCTAGCACTAGTATCAGAAAACCTGGAGTTGAATCCCACTGATGTCACTCACTTAATTTGCTGAGTTTGGACAGGGCACTTGATCTCATCCTCAAGTATCCTGATACCAAAAAACAGAGTTTATATATACAGTCAGCCCTCCATATCCGTGAGTTCCCAATCTGTGGATTCAACCAACCATGAATTAAAAACATTCAGGAAAAACAAAAAAATTCCATGAAGTTCCAAAAAGCAAAACTTGAATTTGCCACAAGCCAAATATGATGTTGAACCCATTCGAGTGAAGTGGTGCGTAGGCATTGTATTAGGTATTATAAGTAATCTAGAGATAATTTAAAGTATACAGGAGGATGTGTGTAGGTTATATGCAAATTCTACATCATTTTATTTAAGGGACCTGAGCATCCTCAGATTTTGGTATCCATGGGAGGTCCTCTAACCCACCCTGAATAAAATAATTACAAGGTTTTAGTGAATGGTAAGTGTATGTGACCTAAAAATAAGTCAGTAACTACTAACAGCATCCTTGAAATAAAATTGCTTAATTACACGATTAAAGACATCAGTATTCCAATCCCAGGAAAGGTCTATCCCCCATATGAACTAATGTCAGTATCTAGTAAATCAGGTCTCATAAGAGTAGGTCCATGCTGGGGGCCCATTTAATTCTGGGACACTGACAAAATTAAGTTTCCGAACCTGCGAAGCTGAGGAATAAACCAAGCGTGGTGACCCCCTCCATGTCCTGCCTCAGCCTCTCTAACTGGCCTTCCTCCACAGTGATTCTCTCCTTAAACGCAGAACTCATACTATGGCTAGTCAGCAACAATAAGCCACATGGCAAGTAGTCATTTCTACAAATGTTTTAGTCTCATCTTTGAACAGTCTACCAACTTTTACAAGAATTTTGGTGAGGGCTCCTTTTAGGTTCTAAGAATTAAAAACACAAAAATAGGCTCAGCACAGTGGCTCACACCTGTAATCCTAGCACTTTGGGAGGCTCAGGTGGGAGGATCGCTTGAGGCCAGGAGTTCAAGACCAGCCAGAGAAACATAGCGAGACTCTGTCTCTACAAAACACAGAAAAATTAGCCAGACGTGGTGGTGCCACACTATAGTCCCACCTACTTGGAAGGCTAAGGCAGGAATATCGTTTGAGCCCAGGAGTTTCAGGTTGCAGTGAGCTATGATGACGCCACCGCACAACAGAATGAGACTCTCTGTCTCAAAGAATAAAAATTAAAAAAAAAAAAAGCCTCTAACCCTCGCTTGGGTGAGGCAAAGACATAAAATGTAACCATGTTTGTACCCTCATAATACCCTGAA